ACAACCAAGTCTAGAAGAACTAGCAACCTTAGAAAAAGTTCCAGACAGAATGTCAAAGGGTATCCATAAGTTAAAAATCTTAGTATCCAAAAATTATTGTATTAATTTTCTTATTGTTTATTTATTTATTTATTTATTTACCTAACTTTAAACACATATACAGCCGTATTTTTAATTTGCATATGTGAATTTTGTGAAAGATTTGCCTATTGGTATCAAAGTTTTTCTGTTTTGTAAACCTTCGATCGCAGGCAGATTATTATATTGAAATCAAAATTTTCTCGAAAATTTAAGGGGCGCAACGGGACCTTTCCAAAACTACATCGAATTTCCGGTTCCAAAAGAAAAAGACGGTCAACCTGGAGTTATTGGCGCTGGTCAACAAACCGCGACAACTCTTAATCTTTTCTTTCATTTCTTTTGTTTTGCGCTTCCTGCGTTGGGCGCTATCATAGCAGATCAATATTTAGGAAGATATAAGACAATTCTTATCTTTTCTCTAGTGTACATTACCGGGTTAATTATTTTAACGCTCACTGCAATTCCGCCCGCGATAGAGGCCAAAGCTTCTTTACCTGGCCTTATAATCTCGATGATCATTATCGGGATCGGAACCGGAGGAATCAAGGTATTTTAAGATATACAAGAGTTGTACGCAAAAAAAATATTAAAATATCTTTTACTATTTAAAGACAAACTGTGTCACTATGGCTGCGGATCAATTTCGTCGCAAAGATCCTTATGTTAAAACTTTGAAGTCTGGAAAAAAAGTTATTGTCGATCCAGAACTCACCATCTCATCAATGTTCCATTGGTTCTTTCTTTCATTAAGCTTTGGATCTCTTTCTCCATTGATCACAACTTACATTGAAAAATATCATTCATTTTGGATGGCTTTCCTCATTCCTACTATAATGTTTCTCATTTCGGTTATAGTCTTTGTCTATGGAAGTAATATATATGTTAAAATACCACCAAATAGCTCTGCATTGTTGGATTTATTCAATGTTTTTCGGTTGGCTTTTAAACATGGTAGAAATCTTGATAATGCCAAACCATCAAAATTTTCCTTGGACGCCGCAAAACAATACAAAATTAAATGGGATGATAAATTCGTGGATCAAATACGAGCAACGATTAAAGCTTGTAGAGTTATTCTAGCATATCCCATTTATTGGGTTTGTTATATGCAAGTTTATAATAATTTAATTTCTCAAGCCGCTACAATGACGGTTAAGTTCATACCAAACGATATGATGTATAATTTGAATCCTATAACTTTGATGATTTTCACTCCTATCGCCAACCACATCATGTAAGTATTTCTATTTTAACTTGATACTATTTATTTATTATTTTTTTATTGAAATATATTAAAAGAAGCTTTTTTTTTTTTTTGAAGATATCCTGCTTTGAGACGCATCGGAATTAATTCTCACCCTGTAACGCGTATCTCTATCGGTTTTATAATAATCGCTTTTGCAATGTTATATTCGGCAATTATCCAGTATATCATTTATAATACTGGTCCATGTTTTGAGGAAACTCGTTGTATAATCGATGGAAAACCAGTCCCAAACGATATTAGTATTTGGTGGCAAGCTCCTTATTATATTCTAATTGGATTTTCAGAAAGTAAGTTTTTCATAAATTTATCTTTTTTGTTCGAACTTATCATTAATCACGATCATTTTTATTTTATCAGTTTTAGTATGTATCACGGGTCTTAATTATGTTTACGATAAGGTAGCTCTTTTTCATAGTGATCCACTCTTCATTTTCATTTATGTATGACTAAAATTTTTTTCATATACATATATATATGATTTATGCTAGGCACCATTACAACTTAAATCTACAATAACAGCTTTATATTTAACGACGTTAGCTGCGGGATCATTACTAGGATTTGTTTTTGTCCCGCTATCAAAAGATCCTTATCTAGTTTGGCAATATAGCATTTTAGCTGCAGTTTCATCTATTACTGGAATACTTTTATTCATATTTTTTAGAGATTCTGATGTTGAAGAGGTGCTATGTAAGGAAGAAGTTATTTAATGAATAAAATACAAATTTAAAACAAATGGAATGTGTATATATTTGGTTTATAGATATTTAACGCTAATATAGTTGAATTTTCTTATAAAACTAGATTCTAGATTGAATATTCATTTTGTTGTTTTAAATAATAAATCTATTTTTTGTAATTTTAGTACTTAAACGAAAACACGTACAGTTTAATTTCCTTCACGTTATCAGTTTGACATTTTTTTCAATTTATATGAATGGTTTCACTAGATACTGTAAAGGAAATATTATTGTTCAGAGAAAAGTGGGAGTCACTAAAATGCTATAAATTAAATCTAATCGACAAAAACGTCTATAGTTAAAGACCATCGCTTAAGTATTTGTGAATGTACAGTCATCGGCAAAAGTAATGCCCGATAAATTTACGAAATTAATCGATAAAAGTCACTATATATAAAACTTTTTTTCTTATTAAGTGAACTAGATTTAGAATTTTAAGTAAAGTTTCTATAAGATATAATGTAATAATGAACAGAATTTTATACGATTTGATGAAAATTTTACTAATCAACTTTTCCATTTGAAAATTAGCAAAAAACTTATAAATTTTAATTAATAATCATAAATTAAGCTGTAGGATAAAATATTTGACCGTTCTTTCTGAATTTTACATATATTATAGCCCGTGATGGTATCTATACTTTCACTTAATAAAATTGTATATAAAAATAAAAAGTTTACTTAGTCACGAATAAAAAATTTTACAATTTTGATTCAATACATAAAACAAAATATTTGTTCTAATTAATGTAAATTTTTTTTATAATTAGATAGTCTGATTTATAATCTCAAACTTTACTTAGAAGTCCAAAGTTATCAGAGTACTCTACGAGGTACTTATCTTAGAGATGATTGTTTGCAATGATATATACAGTTAGTGTTTTGAACCGTCAACCGAAAGTTCAACCGGGGTAGACTTCCGGGTATTCCCAGCCAATCGCTAATGTTTGTTTACATCGGGTAAAATAGGATGCGTCAATCCTATTTTACCCGATGTAAACAAACATCAGCGATTGGCTG